CCCTGGCCCTCCTTATCTGCATTTTCACTGTCGGTGGTTTCCCTGGAGTCGTCTGTGTTCAGAAAATATTAATATTGGTAGGGAGGTAGAATACTCATGTAACTTTTATGAGAGAATATGGCGCACTTGTCCCATGTGATTAGTACTCATTGCTGCTAACCTGTCACAGTGACTAACAGATGAATTACAGTTTATCGTAGGTACACATGTATGGGCAGAACTGTACATATAGGGTTTTATCTGTGGTTTCAGATATCCAATGGGGTCTTGGGACATAATGAGGTGTGTTTGAAAAATATGGTGAATATTTAAATTTTAAAAGATATTACACTAAAAGGCACATTGCCATTTACCCCCTTCAAAATATTTCCCCAGAGAATGCCTGTAATCCCAGCACTTGGGAGGCTGAGGCAGGAAGACGGATGTGAGTTCAAGGCCGGCCTGAACTAAAAAAAAAAAAAAAAAATTGAGACTGTGGAAATGGGAAGGGGATCTGGAGACAAAGGAAGCGGCAGGAAGGGGAAGACATAGTAAAAAGATCAAGATTCCTTATGCACTGAACTTCCCCGAGAGTAAGGCCAGGTCTTAGAGTAATTTTTGCTCCAAAAGACCTAATAGGATTTATTCTCAGGGGATGTCCTGTTTTCTCATGTACAACAGTCTACATCTATTATGTACAAGAACTATGTTTATGCCATCTTCTTTGGAGCATTGTCATGACTCCCAACCCCGAATTCCAGCCTGACTTTCTGGGGACTCCATTTCCATTGGCCCGACCTCTCGTGTCCAGCAGGAGATCTCTCCTGAAGCGCGCGGTTCTCGTCCCTGTCGTCTGCTCTCAGGGCAGTGGCCACACGGCTCTCAGGATTTTGTCCGGTCGGTTCCTCCCCCAAGTCGAGGCCTCTGGCAGGCGGCTTCACAAAGCTTCCACCAAAGCGAGGGTCAGCTGAAGGCTTGGGAGACAGGAGGGGCAACAAAATGACGACAGCTGAGAATGAAGGTCCACACGAAAGTGACAAAAACCGGCCTGGGATGTAGCTCAGCGGCACAAGCTCCTGCCTGGTAAGCGCGAGGTCCTGAGTTCGATTCCCTGTACCAAAAAAACAAAACAAAACAAAACAAAAAAAAGACAAAAAATTTGCAGGCCCCAAATCCAAAGAATGTTTCTTTATTTCACACAAGGTGTGCTGAGTCCAGAGGATTCTTAGGAGATCCACTGCGCCTCGCGCTCATCCGTGTGCAGCAGACGGCACCCGCTTAGGTGTTTACAAACGCTTACCTATGACTTAGGCTATCATTTGAGTGTGTCAATAGCATTATTTATTCATACTTAATTATATATTAATATTATTATTTTATAATTCAATATGTCCGTACTAAATGCATCTGTCTGGCTGACGATCTTCACTGGGGCTTATTTTGGGAGAGGGCTTATACTATGAGCACCTGAAAAAAATCGCCCTAAGGCTTATTTTCTAATGAGGTCTTATTTTCAGGGAAACATGGTCTGTGTGCTAACTCCCCAAGACAAATGCATGTATTATGTATCACAAACACATACTGATTAAAAAAAAAAAAGTCAAAAGCAAAGCAAAAATTCTCCCCCTTATTTCACGCATGCGTATTCCCTCCTTCTCGCTGTTTCCTGGAGCGGTTCTGGGGTCCTCCTTCGTGAGTACCTTCGCTTGCACTACTCTGGCTGCCTTAACAGCCTGAACTGATCAAAAATGTTTCCCTTTCATGGTCACTTTGACGTTGGGGTGGAGCCAGGAGTCCCAGGGTGCCAGACCTGGTGAATAAGGTGGCTGAGGACACAGTGTCATGTTTTTACAAACCTGCTTTCTGTTGGCTGGTGCTTCGCAGCAACACGCACAGTAGCTTTGATCCCACCTTGTAAAGATGCTCCGGAAAGAGGACTTCCAGAACTGCTTCAGAAAGTGACAAGGATGGTGGGAGAATTTTGTTCAAAATGAAGGGAGTGTTTTGAGGGGGTTTCATGCTAATGTGTCTTTTACTGTAATGCATTTTCATTTCTATTTTTAATTTCTTTTTTTGAGACAGAGTCTCACTAGTACCCCAGGCTGGCCTAGAACTCATGGAGCTCTTCCTGCCTCAGCCTCCTGAGTCCTGGGATTACAGATGTGCATCCCTGTTCCCTGCTTGTAATACGGTTAAAAATGTAAACATTAACTGTGTATTTCGATCATACCAATAGCCCCCATGGATAAGAGAGGACTGCTGTGCAGTAAAGTGGTACTGCAGTCCTAGGAGGAAAGGAAGAGAGGACAGAGGGGAGAGGAAAGCAGGACTCAGAGCGACACCGTACAAAGAGACAACCACAGAGGCACGAACGCCAGGCACCCAGGAACCAAGGAGCGGGACCCTGGGAGAAGCCACGCCTGGCTTTGGGTGTCGGGCTCCCTGTCCTGTGGGACAGCACCTTTCTGTTGCTTTTTGCCCTCTGTGGTCCAGCTGGTCCTCCCCACCCAGGGGCTCCCTGTCCTCAGATTCAACCAACTGCAGATGGAAGGTGTGTTCTAAACACTGACCTGCACTGGACAGAGGTGGCCTTTTCCCTGCCACGATTCCCCAAGGACGCCGTGCAGCCAGGGCGTGCACACAGGTGGCACTGCCCCGGGTTGGCAGGGACGGTTCTGAGTCTGCGGGAGGAGAGGCGCAGGCCCTCGGCAAACGCAACACCGTTGCTGAAGGGGCTCGAGCATCCTCGGGGCCTGGTGTCTTTGGGGTCCCCAAGCCGGTCCCCGGGATGTTGGGGACGGTGCTCCTGTACTCTGGCAGCCGGGTGACCCACACCCATTTCTCTCCTTATCCTCCATAGTACTTTCCAGCTCCTCATCCCTACGTCACGTCTTCACCTATTTTGATCCTTGTCCGTCTTCCTCCTTAAAATGTTCTGTCCACCAGGGTAGGGACCTCTGTCAGCCTTACTCACAACTGCATTTCCAGGGCCAGCTCAGGCCCCAACACACTCTGGGTGCTCTCTCAGGGATTGTCGAGTGAATAAGTGAACAAAGACAAAGGTTTTCTTAGGGCTTCAAGATCCTCTGGTGTTGAGTATGTGAGTGGTGGGAACTCTGTTCCTTTCATCTTTTCAAAACAGCCCAACTAGAGTCCATGGTTTTTGCCCTACTGGGAATTGAACTCACGGAGCTGCATGCCCAGCCCTGCATCCTTTTTGAGATAGAGTCTTGTTAAGTCATTAAGTTGCCCAGGCTGGGCTCACACTTGGGGTCCTCCTGCATCAGGCTGCCTGAGTGCTGGGATGATAGGCGCGCATCACCACGACAGCTCTTTACAGTCAATCTTAATGTATACTACAGAATAGCTCCGAGAGAAGGCTGGAAGTGGTTCAGTGCAAAGGATCAACAAATGTCAGATGCACTGGTTGTGCTAACGGCCCTGGTTTGATCATGACACCACATTGACATGTACCAAACTTCATACTGGGTCCTATCCATATTTACAATCATGTGTCAATTAAATATAAAACAAAACTTCCCAGCTCTCTGGGAGGCTGAGGCAGGAGGATCCCAAGTATGAGACCAGCCTGGGCAACTTAGTGAGACCCTATCTCCAAAAAAAAAAAAAATTAAATAAATGAAAAATAAAAGGCTAAAGATGTAGCTCAGTGTGAAGGCCTTGGGTTTGATTTGCAGTATCGCGCACGTGCGTGTACACACACACACACACACACACACACAGATAAAATAAAAATTTAAAAAGCTGAATTATGTTCACAGCTGCTGTGCTGCTGTCGCCCTATAATTAACCAATGCTGCTTCTTGCTGAGCTGCAGCCGAAGAAAGGGGTACCAAGCCCATAGCAAGGCTCTCACCAAGCAAATTGCCCCCAAATCCACCTGCGGTAAAGCCCCTAGGAAACAAATGGCTGCATTTCCTCACTGCTCCTAAGGGGTGGGGAAACCTCATCTTTGCAGGCCTGGGCTGTGGCACTCTGTGACATTAGACGTTGTCAGAAGTCCACTGAACTTCTGCTTTGCAAACTCCCTATCCCGCGTCGGGTGTGGCAAACCGCTCAGGACTTCATAACAGCTCGGTGCTTACAGAGCGCAGCTATCCGTGCTTTGCGGGAGGCAGGCGAGGCCCGGCTGAGGATACCAACCCGTGCACCGTCCCTGCCAGACGTGTAACAGTGATGACGCCAAAAGATACCCAACTAGCGCACTCGCGGAGAACGTGCTTAAGAGTCCACTACGGGGCTGGGGATTTAGCTCAGCGGCAAAGCGCCTGCCTGGCAAATGCAAAGTCGTGAGTTCGGTTCCTGGTACCAGAGAAAAGCCAAAAAAAAAAAAAAAAAAAAAAAAAAGAGTCCACTATGGTGGAAAACATTTCATCCTTAAAAAATTTTTTTCTTTTCTTCCTGTCACTGGTAGTTCTGAATGTTAGATATTCTTTCCCCATGGGGTCAAAAGGTGCCTAAGTACATGAACGCAGGGGGAAAGCCGGGGGCGGAAATCAGGTATTGGCAGTTTTCCCATTTGCATTTGTGCGAATTTTTAATACTCATGTGGGGGTGTAAAGCATTCATGCAAGTCAAAATGTTTCAGCGAACAAGTTTTAAGCAGTTCAACTTCACAACAATTATAAGTAAGACTGTTGAATTTTTCTGGAAAAAAAAAATTTAAAAGTTATCCAAGCCGGCCGTGCCTGCTGGAAGCCAAGCGGCAGGTCGGCGGCCTCTCCTCCGTGTAGGTCAGGCTCCCCCTTGAGCTTGTCCCGTTCCCACCTGCTTACGGCTGTGGATGCAGGGACCCCGGGGCTGGCGCAGACTGGCCGAGCAGGCCTTGGTGGCGCCTTTCGGAGGGGCCACTGCGTCCCCCCCGGTCCCCGCAGCTGCGCCCGGCGGCGAGGGTGGCAGCGCCACGCCCTGTAGCCTCTCGCTCCGCGGGCTGCGGTGGTTGCCAGGAGGCACCGGAGAAGCGGCTCTCGGCCCGGGTTGCCGGGCATCCTGGACGCCGCCAGCCGGGGCCGCGCGCGTGCTGGCTCCGGGGAGGCGGGCGCCTCGCAGGTGCCGGCCCTGCAGGCTCTGCCGCGTCTGCCCGGCCGGCCCCTCACGCTGCCCCTCTGCTCTCTCCTAGCCGCCTCCTCCCGCTGCGGGGCACAGAAGAGCCTGAGGTTTCCGGGCGAGGCCCATGGAGGTCGCCGTCCCCAAGGGTCCCTGACCCGATGCTCGCCCCTCTCAGTCACCATGGCGCCCTGCGGGACGCGGCGCCCCGGCGGATGAGCAGCGGCCTCGAAGGGCGCCCCCTGCGGCGGCGGGGCGGCGTGGTGGACCACCGCGATGTCATCTTGGCCCACCAGGCGCACAAGACGCACAGCACGGCGCAGGCGCGGAGGAAGGAGTGGGA